TATTTTTTTTCCTTAATATGCTTGTTTACAAGTCTTAAGTAAACAGCTTTTATGCAAGCAATTTAAATTTATCATTTTAGTCTTTTCATAGTCTTTGTAATTATTTTAAGGTATGGATGATGGCTTTGAAGGTAAATCTATGATTTAAAAGGAAAACTTTGTTGTTTCTGTATTTAACTTTTTAAGAATTCTTTTTATAGCCTTAAGCAAACAGCTCTGTTAGAAGCTTACACATCTCAACCTTTTCATTTCAAGTTTTAACATTTACTTCAATATCAATCAATTTTAGTATCCACCATTCAACTTCTTCAGTATTTTTTTTCCTTAATATGCTTGTATACAAGTCCTAAGTAAACAGATTTTGTGCAAGCACTTTAAATTTATCATTTTATTCTTTTCACATAGTCTTTGTAATTATTTCAATGTATAGATAGTGGCTCTGGAGACAAATTTATGATATGGAAGGAAAACTTTATTGTTTCTGTATTTAACTCAAGTTTTTTTCATCAATTTTTTTAGTCTTAAGCAAACAGCTTTCGTACAAGCTTACACATGTTAAACCTTTGCATTTCAGGTTTTAATATTTATATCAATCAATTATTTAGTTTTTCTGTATTTTTTTACTTCAATGTGTTTGCATACAAGCCTTAAGCAAACAGTACTTAAAATTTATTATTTCAATTATTTCACATATTTTTAATTGGATGCTGATGACTCGAGACAAATCCATGATGTATAAGGAAAGCTTTATGTTGTTTACATCTGTGTTTAACTCATCTTTCTTCACCAATTCTTTTCCACTCTTTATATATATATATATAATATATATATATATATAACAAATGTATAAATATTTATTTATTTATAGTCTAAACCAAACAGATCTCGTACAAGCAATCTTAACTTTAATCTTAACAACATCTTAACTTCAATCTTTTCTAATGATTTGTAGATAGTTTTTCAAGTAAATTTATTTTAATGTAGATCCTGTCTAATTTTACTATTTTCGATCTGACTCCGGAGACAAATTCATGATACAAATCATTATTTCACATTCAATCTTCTTAAGAAAAAAAGCAATATTTTCATTTTATATCATTCTAGTTTTCAAGTCCATGGTTTCAACTTGATATATCTTTTAAAATGTGTTTAAAAAAAACATGGACAGTAGTCCATGGTTTTAACTTGATATCATTTTCCAATTGACTAAAATACCATTTTTTAAGGTTTTAAAAAAATACCATCATATTTTGCATCTTACATTAGTACGATTAATTCTAATTAATTCAGTTCTTTCACACTTTTTTAATTAGCTTATGATGACATCATTTTTCAACTCGTTTTTATATTCTTATTTATAATTTTTTCAATTATTTTCTTATCTTAATAGTCTAATATATTTATTTGAATATATATCATTCTATTTTATTTAACTTTTTGTACAAATGTAAGTTGAAAATATTTCTTTAATCGAAATATTTATATTTATTTAATTAATTTTTTATATATTTTATTAATCACTTTATAAATTTTTAAGAGATTCAAATTTCTGATCTCGAGATCTATATAAAATAGATAGAATATTTATATAGATCTATATAAAATTTATTTTTATGAATTCATTATTAGATTATTTTATTATTTATAATATTTAGTTCTACATTTATTCATTATTGATCATTTATTATATTGTGAGATTAATTTAGGTCTTTGTAATAATAATTAATTAAATACAATGTTATAGAAATTATTATCCAATTAAATCCATAATTTTTAATGCTCTTTTATGTCAAAAAGTATTTCATATTTTTAATATATATTCTCATTCACTTCTTTTGTATTATTTCTCTTGATTTAATATTGTTATATTTGTATATTATTTAATTGCTCTTTCAATTTCAATTCATGTTTGTCTCTATTCTCAATTATTCTATTTATTTTATTGTAAAAATTAAAGTTTTTGATGCCACCAATTTTTATATTGTTTAATTATTTTATAATCAAGGTTTATATATATATATATATATATATATATATATATATATATATAACTATTTTTGTTCGACGTTGAGACATATTTTTGAAATGTTAATTCGCAGCCAATCGTCGAAATAAAAGAGCAATAAATAGTGAAGTATTTATAGGTTTCGATACGTTTCGACACGCATCTGTGTCATCATTCAGCAATTTTTTAAACTATTTCAGCACTAAACAGTATCACACAAGAAAAAACACTCACCAAAAATTTAAACTAACATTAATTGAAAAATAAAACATAATAAAGTGAAAATTATTTTAAAAAAAGATACTTTATTTATTATGTTTTATTTTTCAATTAATGTTAGTTTAAATTTTTTATGAGAGTTATTCCTGGTGTGATAATGTAAAATAGTTAAAAAAAAAAATTGCTGAATGATGACGTATAAATAAATAGTTCATTATTGCTTTTGTATTTCGACGATTGTCTCCAAAATAACATTCATATATATGTAGGGTGGTCCTTAATATGGACATTTTTTAAAATTTCTTTGCTCCCAAGGACTCAAATGATTCAAAATTAACAAAAAAAAAATCGCTAAAAGTTTTAGCTCTTAATATCAACATTCAGATAGTCCGCAATGTAATTAAAAGTTTCGTATATTTTTTAATTAAATCGCGGACTATCTAAATATTAATATTAAGAGCTAAAACTTCCAGAAAATTTTTTTTTATTAATTTGGAAGCATTTGAGCCCTTGGGAGCCACAAAATTCGAAAATGTTCATATTAAAAACCACCCTAATACATATATATTTCAAACTTTTGTTTTTTTAACTTCTACATACGTTGCTTCCCATTATAAGAATTATATTTACAATTCTTAATCATTTCATTCTCTCATTTCAATCATTTTACCTAAAAGCTGTTACAGAGATAGTCCGCAATTTTATTAAAAATTTCGTATATTCATTGTTACCATATATCATTAAATAAATTTTTGCTTCCAAGGGCTCAAATGATTCAAAATTAACAAAAAAAAAATCTCAAAGTTTTAGCTCTTAATATTAACATTTAGATGGTCCGCAATTTAATTAAAAGTTTCATATATCTTTTTAATTGAATTGCGGACTATCTAAATATTAATATAAGAGCTAAAACTTTCAGAAAATTTTTTTTTATTAATTTGGAAGCATTTGAGCCCATGGGAGCAACGATATTCGAAAATATTCATATTAAGGACCACCCTAATATATATCAGGTTGTCAAATATCTCCCTTCCGCCTTTTTGTATTATAAACCAATAGCAAAAAAGCGGAAGGGAGATATTTGACAACTTAGTATATAATTCAAACTTTTGTTTCTTTTTTTTAACTTCTATTGGAATTATATTTACAATTATATACTTGATAACATTCACGTCATCACCATTTCATTCATTCATTTCAATCATTTTACCTAAAAGCTGTTTTAGCAATTTTATAAATGTGGTATAAAATGCGCAAGTTTTTTTTTTAAACCATACACTACTTTGGCGGTCTTGTTTATTTGTTTCAACAATATTTACAATTTCAATTGATCAAATGTTTCAGTAAATTTCATATTACTAAATTACTCATAATCATAATAATAAAATCAAAGAATATCCTTACAAAATTCTTGTAACAGTTTCACACAATTACTATTAACGCTAATCATATATAAGTACAACATAAATATTTTATACAGATTTTCTATCAATAATTACTAGTAGTAACTATCTATTTAATATTCAATAAAATCTTCAGAATTCATCAAATATTGTGTTTGCATCGTGATATATTTATGTACAAAATAAAACAATGTCAGAAAAATAAATTGTACAAAATTTGTATAAAATAGTCACAAGAATAAAAAATTGTGATTTAGTACAGATTGAAAATATTATAAAATTTATATTCTTTGGGCTAAGATTTACCGTTTAGTTGTTGGGCTTGCTTTTTGGCCTTGATCATGTCCACGAGCTCTTTAAACCTTCT